GGCTGGCGCTGTGGGAAGATGCCGGGGGCAGGGGCAGGACCCCCTAGGGATGTGGGAGAGCGGAGGAGGTGTGGGAGCGGCCGGTGCGTGTGGGAAGCTGGATCACAGCATCGGTCTGGTTAAGATCACCCTGTGCAACCCCCCTGCCAAGGCAGAGTCACCTGGAGCGGGTGACAGGGGAACACATTCAGGTGGGTTTAGGATGTCTCCAAAGGCGGAGAGTCCACGACGTCCGTGGGAAGCTGTTCCAGTGCTCTGCCACCCTCAGTGTTTTTCCTCATGTTGAGGTGGAACTTCTTGGGTTTTAGTTTATGGGCAGTGCTCCTCATCCTGTTGCTGGGTAGCACTGAAGAGTCTGGACCACTCTCTTGGCACTCACCTTGGAAATATTTGTGTGCATTAATGAGATCCTCTCCCAGTGTTCTCCAGGCTAACCAGGCCCAGATATCACAGCCTCTTCTTATATGAGAGATGCTCCAGAGCCCTCATCATCTTTGTGGCTGTCATTGGAACCTCTCCAGTAGCTTCTTGTCTTTCTGAACTCTGAGGAGTCTAGAACTGGACACAGCACCCCATCCATGCCATGCTAGGGCCAGGCAGAGCAAAGGGTTGGGAGTTTTCCCCTTTCTCCTCCAATGCTTAAAATATTCTTGCTGAGCTTGACCTGAAGCCATGGAAAAATCCCCGTTAGGCTTGTGGATGGATCATTGTTTGACTGGAGTTCCTGCTGGGGAGTATAAACTCAAAAAGCAGTTTTTAAATCTGCCGAATGCTTTTATTTCTGTTTTTCTGTGTCTTTACATAAATTCAGGTTTATATGTGTGTAGTGTGATTTCTGTACTGTAGCAGGAACATCAGGTGGTGGCAGATGTAATAAAGGTTTTGGATTTAGTTGTAAAATGATAGTAAGTAAGAAGAGAAAATCTTCAATCGATAGGGCTTGTCATCAGAAATCCATCTTTTTTAAAAGCAAATACAGAATGAGTAAGTAAACCTTACTGTTAAGTAGCAGAGCAGATGAGCTGTTCTGTGTCAAAAAGGAAATCTGACACTCAAAGAAATGTGCATTCATGCTTCGAGTCCTTTACTACTTCTATGTGTGAGCAGCAGAAAGGGTTGTCAGGCACTGGAAGGGGCTGCCCAGGGAGGTGGTGGAGTCCCTGTCCCTGGTGGGACGTGGCACTCAGTGCTGTGGAGTGGCTGACACAGTGGTGTTGGTTCATGGGTTGGGCTCAGTCTCAGAGGTTTTTCCCATTCTAAATGATTCTGTGAAAGAGAAGGTCTGTGGCCATAAAAAATTAATGGGTTGGGGGTCTGGTGTACAGTGTGTGAGGAAGTGGTGAGAGGGGAGCTGGGGCTGAGGGCGGTAGTGCCAGGAGGCAGTGGAAGGGGTATTTTGTCTGTGAACAAAAAGCATGAAAGGCAGTGAGCAGTGGTGGCTTGCTGGACTGACAGGGGACAAATGAGATGTTTTTAGTGACAGCTTCTCCCTTCCAATGCTCTCAGAATTCCAGCTAAAGTCAGTGCTGCAGGCTAAGAGAAGGAAAATGGTTCTGTGGCAATTGTCTTTGTAAGATACCTCACAGGATCTGTGCTGTAACTCAGCAGGATCTGTTTCAGTAGCTCACTTAGAAATAATCCTTATACTGTTTTGCATATGATGAAGGGCAATGCCATGCTGAAATGCTTGTGAAATGCTGAGATTTGGCAAAGCAGTGTACCAGCTTCATCTTCAAAAGGCAATGACTTTCTTGCTTTCGGTAAAACTGCTCAATTAAAGCAGATAAGAACTGGAAGGTTCAGTTCCTAACCCCTGGTTTGACCATAAATTCCATTATAGGCTTAAATGGAACAGGTTGGGTTTTACTGGTATGGTCTGCACTTCATTCACTTCTGGTTTCATTCAGTCAGGCTACAGCCTCAGTGGCTGTGGGACAAAAATGCAGCTCACGTCTAGTGAAGATCTGATTGGTTCCATTTTTCATCTCCAGCTGCTCCATTTGTGCTGGAAACCTTTTGAGGATACACTTGTAATTCTGCTTAATAATATTTTAGGGAACTACAGGAAATACTGTTCAAACATGAGAAAAGCCTGTGTTAATGTTGAGGGTGATCAAGCACTAGAGAGGCTGCCCAGAGCCATGGCTGAGTTTCTGTGCCTGGAGATGCTTGGGCTGCCTGGACAGGGCCCATGGCAACCTGCTTTGCCTGAGCCTGCTCCATGCAGGAGCACAGGGCAGGTGATGTCCTCCCTCGCAGCCCCAGCTGTTCTTTATTAATCCAGAGCTTTTCAGACTGCCTTGAGTTAGGAATAGGTTCTCTTCAAACATGTTTGCATCTCTCCTGGTACACAGCAAAACTCTTGGAATGGGTCTTTACAACCCTTGGCTCTGAGTTGCTTTTCAGTTTCTTAGGATTTGTGGGCTCTCTACATACAGGGCTTATTTGTTTCCAGGGTGTTGCTGCCCTCAGCTTTGACTGGCTTTGTGTGTAGATTCAATAGGAACAGTTTGGTTGTTGTGCAGTGAACTGGTGCACATACACACTGTCTCAGTTGTTTGCCAAAGTCTAACCTGGTTCATTTTTGTTAATGCAGAAAAGCAGAGAGTGCACTTGAATGAAGACTTTTTTGCAAGGAGGGTGATAAGGTACAGTGCTTCAATTTTAACATTACAGAGCAGTGGATATTTTCCTCATTGGCTTTCTGCTTGAAGTGCAGGTCCTGCTGGTGTGTTTTACTAATGTTGGACCGGAATGTGTGAGTCAGCACCGGCTGGCACAATCTCCTAGTTAGAACACAAGGAGTAAATTTGTTTTTATTACAGTGCTCCTTGTGGAAGCAAAGTAACAGAAACAAACAGAAACAAATTTGCTTCCCGAAGCAACAGGTGGCCAGAGATGCAGTATTAGAGATGTGATCGCCCTTAGTGCCAGAGGTTCATTGCCTTGTCAAGAGTTATTCCCAGCTGCAATGTCACTTCAATGATTTACACTCTTTTACCAGTCTTCCACTTTTAGTCCATTCCTCCCAAAAAATATTTTTCAAAATCTTTCTAGTTCCATGATCTTCTCTGTTTTGGGCGTTTTGTTAGTGTGATGTGTCACCATGTTAAAAACTCCAAATAAACTGACTGTAGGGATTTGGTGTTTTTTTTATAGTGTTCTTTAATGTTCAGGAAGAACTTGGAGAAGGTGGGAATCTGTACACTTCAGCCACCATGTCTGGAATTGGCAACAAACGGACGGCTGGAGAGCCTGGCCCTTCTGCACCTCCAGAGAAGAAGGCAGGGGTTGAAGATTCGGGCACCACTGTGGAGACCATTAAACTTGGTGGTGTTTCTTCAACGGTATATCTTCCTTGCATACCCCCATTCCATCCTTTGGTTTTTTTCATCTGGAGGCAGAAATGTCTCTGGGGTCATGGTGAGCCCTTCTGTGACCTGGCCTGTGTCCCTGTGCCCAGGAGGAGCTGGACATCCGGACTCTGCAGACCAAGAACCGGAAGCTGGCGGAGATGCTGGACCAGCGCCAGGCCATCGAAGATGAGCTGCGGGAGCACATTGAGAAGCTGGAGCGTCGGCAGGCCACCGACGATGCCTCCCTGCTGATCATCAACCGCTACTGGAATCAGGTTGGGAACAGCTTTTGTTACTTCATATACAGTTTGCTTGTCTCCCCTGTACTGCTGCACTCCTTTTGTTCACATCCATTCTTTATCTTGTCTTGCCTTGCCTGTCCCATCATTCAGTTTGATGAAAATATCCGCATCATCCTTAAACGCTTTGACCTGGACCAAGGTCTTGGAGACCTTTTGTCTGACAGAAAAGCACTGGTGGTGCCAGAACCTGAACCAGACTCTGACAGTAATCAAGAGCGCAAAGATGAGAGGGAACGAGGTGAGGCACCTGTCTGGGGACAGTGGGAAAGGTGGATTTCAGCTGTGGACAATGCTGATGTCCATTTCTAAAGGCTGACAGACCTTTTTTTTTGTGATTTTAAAGAGCAGTGATATGCTACCTTCTAGAGCACACTTACTTTTTTTCACCCCTTTATGTTCCCAGGGGAGGGATTGGA